ACATGTTTTGGGAACAGATTTTGTTTCAACAGTTCAATTTTCAGAAATATTATAATCGTAATAATATTAAAATAATGGATGCTATGAACAAGGTTTGTATATGATTATGTATGTTTATAATAAGCATAAAATGATATGAAATATAGAGGTTAATGTGTATTTCGAAACAAAGATTACATTTATCATTTATGTGATTGATTTCATTATCTTTATATTTCTATGTTTTCTTTCAGTTTTGATCAACCTGACATTTTCCACTTTATTCATTTGGAAATTACATTCTATCACATTTCTCTCAACTCAATACACTTAATATTTTTCAATAGAATTCATTAATTTCATTTGTGTATTTTATTTTCATTAGTACTTCACCCTTAATCAAATCATGCTTTCATTCATTCATTCATTACTTACTTACTCCTGTTACTCCCAATGAAGCATAGGAAGACGACCAGCATTCTCCATCCCACTCTTTTCTAGTTCGATTCAGTTGTTGTTCATTCTTCTCATATCTGTCTCCATTCCTCGTGGTAGTGTTTTTTATCTTCTTATTCTTTGGCCTTGAGGATTTCGTGTGAGAGCTTGCATTGTGACACAGTAAGGTGCTTTCTTCATTTTCTTATTCATTTCCAGCTCTTCTTCCCGATTTCTTCCTCTGCTGAGATCTGCCTTGTTCTTTCCTGCAGTTGGTTGTTGCTAACAGTGTTTGGCAAATGGGTCCGAAGTATTTTGCCTTGACAGTTGTCAATATACACTTGTATCTTCTGGATGATGGCTTTCGTAGTTCTCAAATTTTCTGCCCCATACGGTAGAACTGTCTTGACATTAGTATTGAAAATCCTGACTTTGGTGTTGGTTGACAGTTTCTTTGGGTTTCAGATATTTCTCAGTTGTAAATATGCTGCTCTCGGTTTGCCGATCTACGCATTCGTATCCGCATCAGATCCACCGTATCCATCAATGATGCTGCCCAAATATGTAAAAAATTTTACATCCTTCAAGTCTTTTCCGTCAAGTGTGATTGGAATGGTGCATGTTGTGTTGCATCGGAGAATCCTGCTTCTCCCTTTGTGTATGTTGGGACCTTCTGCTTCTGAGGCTGCCGCTAAACTGGTCGTCTTTGTTTTTGCTTTTGCGATAGGAGGGCCAAATCATCTGAAAAGTCTAGATCATCCAACTGCCATGATGATTTCTTCAATTGTTGGTGGGCCAACGTCGATTGGGGGTTCCGTGGGGCTGGTTGATTCAAGAGTTCTTTGGAGTGTTTTACCCACCTGTTTCTCTATTCTTCAATGTTGGTGACTATCTTGCTTTCCTTGTTTTCACTAGTCGTTCTTATTTGTGCTTGTTTGGTTAGCATCAATACAACTTGTGTATTTGAGACATTTTCTTCTTCATGGCCAGAATATAACAGAAGCTAGTCGTTGTCCAACTTGCGTCCAATGTGTTTCACTGATTCCAAGAACCTCCAGGTTGTATCTCCTAACTTCTGCAGCAATAACGAATTCCATTGAGAGATTTCGCCTATCTCCTTACTGCGTATGAATAGATTACTTCTACATTTTATAAGTAATTATATTCTAATGTAAATAGAAAACAAGAGAATAATAGTAAATTATTTAATGAATTGTTAGTTGACAAATCAAATGGCTTTTGATATACTTTCTAATCAGTAATTTAATGTACGTTTGTTAGTTTGTAAATGAGTTTTGTATGATGAAGTAACTGTGATGTACTGACAGAAATGAAGGTGAATGTTGAATATTATATAAGAAGGATTGTTTCAGCGAGTAGTACTCTTTTCGGCGAATTCATCTTCAAAACTGTACAGTCACAAATATATATACTTATTTTTCAGGATGACAGTAATTACAATAACAATGATAATAAACTCCTGTTAGATATGATAGCAGTGAGGAAGAATGAACAAATGTATTAAAAATTCGATTGTGTCTGTGTAGGTAAATATCTGACGTGTTTATATGGGAATTTTGTGCCACCTATAACCAATTTGTCGAATGCATATAAATTTGCAAATCTTTCACCATTGTCGTTCCTTTCTCTCAGTCCATGTCGTCCCATACTATATTCATATCCGGTGTTTTGCATTCCTACTTTGGCGTCTAGGTCTCCCATCAGGATGGTGAGATCTTACCTTAGGCACTTCGCTATGATTGATGGAAGTCTCTCATCAAATTGATCCTTATTGTGATCGTTGCTATCATTGTTGGGTGCATAGAAGTGTGTAATATTCATTGTGATTCTCTCCTTTGTTTTGAAGTATGTTTTGATGATTCTGGATCAATGAGACTTTCATCCTATAAGTGAGTTACACGCTTCTTGGGATAGCTTCAAAGCAACTTCATGAGTGTGCGGAGCATTTTCTTTTTCATGAGTAGAGTTCAACCGCACCTCTCCCGACGCTTATCTTTTCTATCCAGCTTGGGACTAATTGGTTTCACTTATTATGTGAACCACTAAGTCGTATTTTCTCATTTCTGCAGCTATTTACTTGTCTTCCACTTTTCTCACATTGTACAGATATTATATATATTTATGTTAATTGTTGCTCTGGATATCAAAATAAGGATCAGTCTCGCAATTTCCAAATAATCTCGGCTTTCATCACAATGTACCGTAATTCTTCTGAATGAAGGTCTTCCAACTTAGAGGGCGGAGTTTAAATGGCCTGGCGTTTTTTCTGAGTGTTGATTTCCACGGGATGAAGGTGATGACCTCATGCCCAACCCTCTTCCTTTACCTGGGCTTTAGATTGGCAGTAACTCAAGAAGTGCTTCAAGTGAAGTTTGTGATTAGAAATATGATGGAAAATAGACAATAAAAAACTCATTAACCTGGCGCTGATTGTATTTTGTGCTACCCTAACCAGTTGATTTGTGAAAAGCTCCATAGGTGCCAGATCGGTGGTAGTAAGCAGAAGATCGTGCGGTTATCATGACAAATCTTTACGACAATGGTGAGTGTACTTTGGGATCGGCTGAATTTGAGCGTTATCGGTAGGTCCAGTGAGCCATCTGTCTTTTTCAAGTAAAAATTAAGAAAGGATATATATTTTTCATTAGAAAGCATGAACATTGGTACAGTGAGGCACGAAATATCTATGAGTCCTGCTTCGTCATACAATTCATTTTTTCTAGTACAATTCCAAAGAAGAAAAGCGAAGGAAATTGAACTTAGAGTCTTATATGTTTTAGGTATGTAGAAGGTCTATGACGTATGAGTAGGGTCCAGTCTTATAAACGTACATAATCCATCTAACATGCGTATAACCAAAGAAAGACAGTTCCATAATAAATTGAACTTGATGAGGAGGAAGTTTTCTAGAGTTTTTGGTCTATATTTTTGGACTTTAACTGTAGATGAGTTATCTCAGGGGTCGTATATATGTGCGCCTTGGGTAAGAACTCTAATTCATTTGGAATAATTAAGATTTTTGAGAAGCTTGAAGTAACGATGGTCATTGAGCAAACCAGTTTAAAGCTTTTTGCGAGTGAAATTCGGTTGGATTCCTTTCACTTTAAGTACGTCTGATTGGCGTCAGTTGAGAAATGAGAAAGGACAGGATTCAACGATTGCTATTATATGTATCTTGTAAAGGATGATTTTAGATCCATTTTGAAAGAAGTTACAAAGAATGAGGCCTAGCCATTTCAGCACTTTAGATGCTCTAGTGGAGATATGTTCAGAGAACTTTTGACTGTGGGAGTAATGTACCTCAAGTTCACTTATTGACGTGAGTGTGTGCTGGACGTTCTTGTCAAATGTTAGACTTTTCTGACAGATGTATCTCCAGCAAATAGTCAGACGCATTTCGCTGTGTTGAGCTCTAAGCTGAACAGCTTATAATAAAGGGAATAAGAATGTGCATATGATACAGTTATTTCATGGTTATACAATAAGAATATATATAATAACAGTCTATAAGTGGATCCTAGCAGTAGCCATTTACTCATTCTCTTTTCATATATAAAAGAAATTGTAGGATTTCTTTTTAAGGACATGCTCCCTCACCCAGTTGGTTGACAAATCTCTTTTCACTAGCAATAATTTATGTTGTCTGTGTCTACACTGTGATTATGATCTAGCGTATGGAATATAGTCATAATAATAAGAGTAAGAAATGTGGAATTTTCCTCACACCACCAGTTTAATATCCTTAAAAGGAATGTCGGATGTTAGACAACCGTCCGTATGTTTAGCTTATTCACGCTGTTAGAATACATGTGTAAATTGACTAAAACTTAATGAAGGAGTATATAGATCACAAACGTCTATGATGCTCGTCGAATGGTTGAGGGCTTGCTCTAGATAGATGGAAATGGTTTGGCTGACAAGTTAACATCGAAGTCACGCCTCACGGTTAGTACTTAAGTGGATTACCATTTCATTGTATTCAGGTACTATAGCTACTTTGGTGACTGTATAACACAAACGACGTTATCACACAAATATGTTAGCAAGAGTAGGTACAGAAAACAAAACGTAGCCACAACCGCATGGACCAGTTCATAACGTGGAATTAACTGATGCTCGTCAGTCGTCTTTGACCTTGACGAGGATCGCTGAACTGTTTGATGTTCTGTGACCAAACTGCCGCATGATTTGGCTGAGATCCAGTGACGTTCTGTTAATTATACAGGTGCAGCAACTTGACCTACGTCGTTCTAGGCTGTTTGCTGGTCATCGTAATCGGGTAGGAACAATTTTTGTTGATAGATACCTTAGCTAGAATTCGTTGTCATGTAAGTAGTTTGAGAGCAACCTCCTTACTAAAACAACTCCAATCCAATTTGATAAATGATGCAAAGGTTTAATACTGAGGCGGAGATTAATAAGAGTTTATAATTTTTTGGCTTAGTTTTTGCGCATTATTTTTCGTCTACGTTCACGGTCACGCACTTTTTCAAAATAAGGACTTAGTTTTCGATTGATGGCTTATTGTCCAAACAACACTTTTTCAGTATTAAGGAAAACAGTTGATGATGCACTTTATGGCGTCCAGAGTTCGAAGAATGCTTTTTTTATATAAAAACAATAAAAACAACCAAAATGATGTAGATTCCAAAACAAATCAGGATGTTAAAAGTATTCCTTTCGATAAAAAGAAGTTCGACTTGAGAAAAGTTGAATTACTACGCACCGTCGGTGAGATATATTGTTTTTATTTAGTTTTTTGGAATTTTCTGTCTCCATTAAACTTGAAAGTTGCAATATTTTTATACAACGTTTGAAGCCGTATATACGGTTCCCAAGTTTTTCTAAATTTAAGAATAATTTTTTATTTCCCTCACTTGACAACAAAGCGGAGTTAAGGCTGTTTTGCGTGATGCCTTCAACTCGGCTACATCAAACCATTTTTGGCCAAAATATCTTTACTGTAAATCAAGACGCAAGGTTTATCATAAGTTCACCGATCTACTACCCTTATTATTAAGGACTGAAGAAAGATCGTGTCTTATGATATTTTTCTTCTTCATAGGTACGTACGTACTTATTCCTTGCGAACAGTAGATTTGGTACTCAGTGCGAGTGGACAGATAAAGACACGCAGATAAATCAGCCTCATTACTATTCAACTTGAGTTAGAAATCGAGTTTCCCTTCAAAGTGATGGGGAAAAGTTCTCACCGATATACGATTTAAAGGCGAATTCATCAGCGTACAGCTTTTCACCACAGAAAATGTTTCCACATATTTTCTTGGTTGACGATTTGTACTGTACAGTTAGAATTCTCATTGACAGTTGATGGTTAGGGTTAAAAATTAGATTTATGGTTTTCATCACGAACGAACATCAGGTATAGTGCCAAAACTCTTTAGCCAAATGTATGGACGAATTTCGCGCCAAAAATCGAGACTCATTATTTCATATCTGATTGGTTATTCCATAAATTATAGTCTCGCCCCTATTACAGTAAGGTGTTGCCATCACTAAGTTAAAATTAGATAAGCGTAATATATGTTCCACACATCAGTAATCCCCCATCAGTTGTCCAAGTGTTCATACTTATGTCATTTTGCTTTACGTGAATACTGGTTATAAAAAACAAGGTTTTAGGCTTAAGATAATGTTGAAATTCAACAGTGTTCTCCAGGATTATCGAGGTCTTAGTGTTTTAAGACAGATGATGGGAAAAATATGAACAAATAAGAAATAACAATATAGTTACCCAGTTGAAATCTGAAGCGAAAGTTTATTTTTTTGGAGCCGGAAGAGTTGTTTATAACAGTGGTTTTAAATGAAATCAAAAGTTTGAAGTTAAAAGCAAGTATCTATCATGTCAATAAAATTTTAATCTTGACGGAGCGATGTATTTTCACCAGCTTTTTTACGAAGGTGGTGTAAATTTTGATAAGGAAAATTCTCAGTGAATATTTGCTGTGACTATGTAGTTTGTTTCACTTTTTGTCGCGGCTATAACCATTCAGATATTATTTTCTAATTATTAATTTTGACACTCCTCAGCTTAATCTCAGAAAAATATCACATTTCAAAATATTTAATCATGCGGGTTGCCCACGTCCTAGGCATATATTTTATAAGTTCAGAGAGAATGGCTTATTGAATGTCAAACTGTGGAAGCGGATTGTTTTATTAGTTGTTACGATGATCTTAAAATTGATCACAAGTTCATAAATTCTCAACTATGAACCCGTATCTTCGTCAAATGGTATGAAAAAATGAAGTTTTGAATAAAGTGACTCAATTTCTGTTACCAAATGACTGCCAAAACTGTTGCTAGATTTCTGAACCTTGAGGTATGAAGTCAGGGTATGATGTGTTCCACTTGTGCCACTTGACGATGATATATACAAATAACCTGGTGTTTTGAATATGTTGTGCTCTCTGAGTTCGACCGTTTAATCGCACTATCATTATATATATATAAATTGATGACTAGATGGTATTACGTTTTCTTCTCTGGTTTGTAAAGGTTCTCCAAGGCACGGACTTCTGAATTCGTATGTATTACTTAGAAATATGGTTAGTACGTGTAAAATATATCCTTAAGTATGTGTTTGGAACAAAGAATTCAGTGATTCTGCATATTTAAGACTACCCAGTGAATAGTTCACTCATGCTAATCAGCTTTTTTACTGTTGATGGATTAGTTATGACATACTGTTCGGTAGAACTTGGTAATCCATTTAGCCTCAATTTTATTTAATTTCAACTTATACTGGTCGGTTCCATTTTTGTTACATCAAAGCTGCGGTTACGCATGGAAGTAGTCTGTTATCTTAAGTGGTTAAAATTCTACTGTTATATGTTTATGCGTGATGATTAATACTCAGAACTAAGACTGACTTATATACAAATTATGACCTTTCATGTACTTATTGTTAGGTCAGACAACTTTATTAATAACAAATACCGATGTTTAATCACAATATCTATGCAGCAAAAAACATTTTAAAAGGTTGGTCGCAATAAAACGTTGGAAGCAAAGAATGTGGGTCTGTTAATTAGTTTTTATTGAGCTATAATTTCCCTATGCAGTTGAATATCGTCATCAGGTCAATAAGTTCGATAGCTTCGGGAAAATACGCAGCATTAAGGTCTTTATTGATGATTATGATAAAATAAAAATTGTCAAATTGTTTAACATTCAACAATAATTGAGTCGATTCTAAAAAATATAGTCTGCTTTTGATTAATATTAAAAATAAAGGTTGTAAGTAGACGTCTTAAGTAGCGAATTAAATGAATTTAGCTCTATTGAAGCGGGAAAACAGAGAGATTAGTACAAGAGGTATAACTAGAGAGCTGATTTACTGAGAACTGCCTATCATGGCTGAACTAAAAGGGGATAAGTGAGAAGAGGAATTTCCCTTTTACACACTTGATCAACTGTGGACATCAAGTTGATGAGATTTAGATGTTCAACATTATATATTCCAGACCATTCAGTTTACTTCTGCATTAACTGCATGAATAAAGTCTAGTTAATTACGACCAAAAATGTTATGGTGAGGAAGGATTACAATAATGCATTTATTTATTTCCTATGTTAAGACATTTTGTAAAACCCCACATTTGCTAGTACGGGATATATCGTCAAGTTTTGCAGCTCACAAATAAGATATACAATATCTTCATTAGGCATGTTACACGCCTATTTCAACTGATTATTAAGTCTTTTATTGTTAGTTGTGAATGTTAATTAGAAAAAATGGCTATGAAATATATTTGTTTTACTCTGAAAGATATGTCTTATGATCTCAATACAAAGATAATCATAAGGATCAATAGCATTAACTAAATATAATTTCTCAGAACAGATGAATATAACTCAACGTCCAAGGTTTAAAAAAGTGAAACTGATCGATATTTTATTATGGCTAATTCCATTGTGTGTATTTTGTTACTGTAATTAATAAGCCAAAAGCCCACCATGATAAAACACACTCAAATACTTCTACTTGTGTCAATCACAAACGTAATACGGTTGGAATAGTTTGGCTCACAGCTTTAGAGCTAGGACAAAATCAAGAATTTGTTTATCAACATGAAAAAATTATAGAAAAATTCAGTGACTTAAGATAGTAACAGTTTACCAAAGGTTGTGAATCTTGTAGCTGACCATTGGATTATTAAAGAAAAGCTCACGCTAAAGAATTGATCAACAGATTATATTTCCCTCAGAAATTATCTAATTTTACCAAAGAACGAGTGAAAGGTGACCATAAGGTTTACCCTGCCCATTGTGAGTGATAATAAATGTTTTGAGATATCTCCCCTCTAAAGGCATGGGAAAAAAATCAAAGTTCGAAATACCCCGTCCTTTGTTTTCATTTATTATTGAGGAGCAAATAACATAATAAATACTAGAATAATTAATTCACATCTGAAAGTGAAGTTAATAATTTTACAGCTAATTAAATTTACCAGCTCACATATATTTCAAAGTCATCCTGTACTGTCACCTTCATAATAGCTGTTCATGATACTGAATAGATAATAGTGTTTAAAAGTTACCACGAATATTTATTTAAAAAGCAAACTGGTGAAGACAGTGTTACAATCAATAAAATATTTGCATACTTAAAGGTAAATATTTACCATCATAATACAAACCTCTTTTATTCAGGAAACAGTTTTAGAGAAATCATTTCTCAGAAAGTTTATTAGTATGTGTAGGTTGTTACATGTTAAAAGATATTTAATTTCATATTTAACTCATAGTTTTAGGCCAAAATATATCGCGTTAGAATGTAATCAGTCCTATAAATGTTTTATAGATTAGAGAAACTGAACAACTGATTCTTTGGGTGAATTTCGTGAACTGTTGAGGGTAAAAATATAAAATTAACACTAAACAAACAGTGAGTACTTTTGTTGTTTACTCACTTATACCAATAGTTACATACATATAATATCTAATTATGTTAACAATAAATATTTATAGTAAGTAGTTTCTTTAGCTTTGCACCTTACATCGATTCCGTTACAATTAGAAAGTAAACATAAAAATTGATGTAGTGTACGAGGGAAATAAAATTTTTGTACACATAATCACTGCAAATATTTTTTATGTCATTGATATGGTCACATTTATCAAAGCCTATTTTTTCTATATAAAAAAATATAAATTAGTTAACTATCATTAAATATGTCACCAAAAAGGAATAAGGATATTTAGATGGAATGCAATTCCCAAGCATACGATCTGTAAAATTTGTAATAATTACTATGAAGATAACAAACTCACTAATGGACCCAAAGATCTTGAGTTCAAACTGACATGGTCATGGGAGATTGTTGTTTAGGAGTCAATAACCTATACTTCCCTAGCCAATAACAATTTTCAAGGAGAAAGAATTTAACTGCTTAAAAAAATTTCCAAATATACTATGAACCATGTTTTCTCTACTTGTCAACTTGTTTCTAATTAATTGATGTGTGTAATAATATATCCAAGGTACCATTCCTTAACAATTTTACAAGAAACGCACTTCAGAATATCAGTTTAGTGTTGGGATAAATGTTAATTCATTGACTTAAACATCAAATTGCTTATCATGTTTCGTTGTCATTCAGTCACTCGATCACAGTTTCCCTATTATTCTCTGTGTCCATGATGTTAGTGGCATAAAACCATCTTTAAGTATGCAAGTAAATTTATTTTACTTTAGGACTAAGAG